CTTTCTTTCTTTCTTTCTTTCCTCCCTCCCTCCCTCCCTCCCTCCCTCCCTCCCTCCCTTCCTTCCTTCCTCCCTTCCTTTCCTTCCTTCTTTCCTTCTTTTTCAAGATAAGGTTTCTCTGTGTAGCCTTGGCTGTCCTAGACTCACTTTGTAGACCAAGCTATCCTCACAGAGATCCACCTGCCCCTGCCTCCTCGAGTACTGGGATTACAGGAGTGCGCCATCACTGCCCGGCTTTGTGTTTGATTTTGGAGATGTGGGTTTGAGGGGTAAAGGGGCTGGAGGCACAGTGATCTGGCTGGACAAGCCAGGAAATTGAGGCAGTAAGTAGCTTTCCTCGATGGTACCTGCCTCTGCCTCTGCTCCTGCTCAGCTGAGTTCCTGCCCTGGCTTCCCTCTGTGACAGACAGACAGCTGCAAGCTAAAATAAACCCCAAGCTGCTTTTGGCCTGGTGTTTATCACAGCAATGGAAAGCAGAATAGGGCACCTCCCTTTACGTGTTGAGGGACTGGGCTGGGCGGCCTGTGGCTTTGCCGCCGTAGGGTTGGGAGGTAGAGGTGTGGCAGTCTCTTCATTGTCTAGGAGCCACTAGGTCTCAGGCTTATGCGTACCCAGCCCAGAAGTGTTGGGCAGATGCTGCAGCTGGATGCTGGGTTCATTCCTCCAGCACCCGCAGTGGTACCTGCTGCCAGAGAAGACAGCTCAGGGCTTCCTTGAAGCCATTGCTCATTTGGACTTCTCAAGCTGCTTGGGGGGCTTCTGTCTTAAAAAAAAACCAATAAAAGAAAAAAAAAATGAAGCCTGGTGGTGGTTCTAATTTCTATCTATCCATCTATCTATCTATCTATCTATCTATCTATCTATCTATCTATCTATCTCTTTTTTTTTTTCCCAGACAGGGTTTCTCTGTATAGCCTTGGCTGACCTGGACTCACTTTGTAGACCAGACTGGCCTGGAACTCACAGAGAGCCACCTTCCTCTGGCTCCGAGTGCTGGGATTACAGGTGTGTGCCATCGGGCCCAGTGATGGTTTCATTTCTTTTCTGAAATCTGGAGCCCAGGGTGTATCAAAACCTCCCTGTAGCCTCTTTACTGCTAACTTATATTTTCTGGTTCACTCTTGTAAGAGCCACAGTTACTTTTGTTTATTCTCTGTTGCAACTCTGGTTATGAAACCAGTAAGGCACTTGTCTTCTGTCTAAGACATACTCTGAGTCCCAGGGAGCTCAAAGCCTTTGAACGAGGCCAGCAGAATAGCCTGGAAGGACCACCTACATGAAAGATCTTAGATTCTAGGAAAATGACATGACATGGAGCTAGGGTATGCTTAGTGATAGAGCACCTGCCTAGAATCCCCTAGTGAGGGGCTGGGGTGTGGCTCAGTGGTAGAGCCCCTGCCTAGAATCCCCCAGTGAGGGGCTGGGGTGTGGCTCAGTGGTAGAGCACCTGCCTAGAATCCCCCAGTGAGGGGCTGGGGTGTGGCTCAGTGGTCACCTGCCTAGAATCCTCCAGTGAGGGGCTGGGGTGTGGCTCAGTGGTCACCTGCCTAGAATCCCCCAGTGAGGGGCTGGGAGAGTGGCTCAGTGGTAGAGCACCTGCCTAGAATCCCCCAGTGAGGAGCTGGGGTGTGGCTCAGTGGTGGAACATTACTAGCTATGTCCTAGCTCAGAACTATTCATCCACAGCACTGAAACAAAATACCCTACTCCCAAGATACACACACACACACACACACACACACACACACACACTCACACACAGCAGTCTGTATCATGGGACCTCCAGGGCATGTCACTTACAGGGGTGTGTGCCTTCAGTTAGCCATGTTCTTTGAACTGCTGTCTCTTTGTAAATGTCTGGATACCATATACCTACTTTATAGAGTAAGACTGTTTCTGCATGTCGTTGCTACAGGAAGTGGGTTTGTAATGAAATGACAACAGAATATAAATAGAGGAGAAGTGAACAGAAAATAAACTAACCATTTCAGGATCCACTGAGATGACTTAGGGTTAAAGGCACTTGCTACCAAGCCTGAGTACCTCAGTCTGATGGCTAGAATCTACACTGTGGAGAAACCAACTCCTTCAAAGTGTCCTCTGACTTCCATATGCACAACACACACACACACACACACACACACACACACAAATGCAATAACTGATTCAATAATCAATTTAAAAGAAACAGAAATTTCTGGTTGTTTCCAGTTTGAGCCACCTACTTTTTAGGAAAGTGTTATCATCAGATTATGGAAACTGGTTTTGGGTAACCTGTGGCCAAAAGCATAGGCAGATACCTCGGAGAAGGTTTGTGGGGTCATCAGGAAGATTGTGTGTGTGTGTGTGTGTGTGTGTGTCTGCCATAGTTTATGTCACTTGACACGCCCTTAGACACACTTGGGAAGAGGGAAGCTCAGTTGAGAAATTACCCTCATCAGATTGGCACATTGTAGGAACATTTTCGGGGGCATTGTCTTGATTGTTGATTGATTATGGATGGGCCCAGCCTGGTGTGGGTGCTGGCTCTACTGGCACAGGGGGCCTGGGTCTCAACAGAAAGGAGGCTGAGCAAGCCAGGGGAAGCAAGCCAGTACGTTCCTCCATTGTTCTGCTTCAGTTCCTGCCTTCATGCTCCTGCCTTGATGTCCCTAGCTGATGGACTTTAGCCTATAACCTGGGACTCCCTCCTCCCCCACTGCCAATTGCTTTTGGTCATCGTTAATCACGGCAGCAGAAAACAACCTTGAACAGCGTCAGTGTGTACGTCACCGGTGCGTGTGCAGGAAGAGGTCTGGCGTGCCCTGCTCGGTCACAATCTGTCTTGGTCCCTTGAGAGAGGGGTCTCCATCTGAACCTGGAGCTAGGCTGCTGGCCAGCAAGTCCCATCAGTCCTCCTGTTTCTTCTGCTCGCCCTCTCCTCAGTGCTGAGATGTGGGCAGGCAGGGGGCCAGGCCAGGCCTTTTACAAGGCTGCTGGGGGTTCAAACTCAGATCCCACGCTTTCTCAGCAGGCATTCTGATCCCCACTGGGCCATCTGCACAGCCCAGGAGGGAGTATGTTTTATAAGGTACTGCCAGATAGCCTCTCAAAGAGGAAGTAGAAGAGGGAGCACAACCCTGCACTTCCACCTACATTGGGGGCCACCCAGTTGCTTTGACCCTTCCCTTGAATCTGGAGTTGTGAGTGTTTACATTGGCTTAGGCCTTTCCAGCAGCTATGTTCTAGAAAACAACACTTAAATAGCGCAGCTGACCTCTGACTTGCAGTCTGCCTCCACTGCCCAAGTGCTGGGATTGCAGATGAGTGCCACAGCACCTGCCTAAATAGAATGCAATCGGGTTTATTTTGGCCAGGCATAGTGGTACATGCCTTTAATCCTAGCACTTGAGGCAGAGGCATCGGCAGGCGGATCTCTGTGAATTCTAGGCCACCCTGGTTCCAGGGCAGCTGGAGT